CCCCCTGCATGTCCTAGTGGTACTGGTAGTTGGGTGCATGGAAAAAGCAGCAAGCAAATTGTTTTTCCACTCGGTGAAAAAAAAAATAAAATAAAAAAAATGTGTCTTCATTTTAACATTCAGCAATAAATTCCCTTTTCTTCATGACCATCACTCTTGGAATATGCTAGAAGATTTTTTGCAAGTTTTATCAGAAACATATTACTTGTAAAAGAAGAAAAAAAATCCCAAACCACCCATTCATATGAAAAATAAAACTTTATTCCTACAATTTTGAAACAGTCCTGTCATCTTTGTAACAAAACAAAAATTTTAAAAAATTATTTTTTTTTACACACAAAGCCTTGTTGTTAATTTTTTTTTTTTACACACAAAGCCTTGTTGTACCCGAATCCATTCCTGAAATGCCTTTGACTCCTGTTACCTGTTGCACTCAGATGACACCGACCGGTTTTTGGGTTTCAACAGTGACGCCTACTATTGTGCACCACATGTTTGCATCTGTAGGGCTTTAAGATTCCACAAACCAGGTATTTCGAACTTGAGCTCTTTTTCGTTTTTCTCGTTTGACTGGATGACTGAGAGAGTTTTAGGGAGGAGGGAAAAAAAACAATCTCTCGTCGGTAGAGTTTCTGCTCTGGTCGTCGGTTCACCCTCTGTCATCGGCCTTTACCGTCTTCTCATACTGTACAGCTTTGACCCGGAAGAAGATGGTCGGAGGTGTGAATCCCGTACAATTATGATTCTGTCGTACTAGCCCGCGGTGGAACCTCGGTGGTCGAACGCCTCCCTTTTCGAACAATTCGGTTCACGAACAAAAAATTTTCACCACAATTTTCACCTGCCATCGTCGTACTGTAACTCGGTTGCCGAACAAGCCAACAATACCACGCAAACGACGAGTGATCACTGTGCGTCTGTCCGCACTGCGGATATAGCTACACGCTAAGAACGGTTTGTTATGTTTTCAAAAATAGTGAGAACAACAATAGAAAAGAAGAACCATTGTAGGGAACCTTTTTACGGTACGGCTTAGCAAAGTCGTCGATTTGTACCGTCATTAAGAACAAGGAAGCAATAAAAGAGGCTGGTGTCGTCAGAGGAGCGACTGTGATCACCAAGCAAAGATCTCAGATACTAGAAGAAGTGGAAAAAGTTGACCTTTTTTTGACCGACGACGAGTATTTCGTAGGTAATAATTAGTGAGAACATTGCCCAATCACGGCTCCTCACTGAAACGGCCTCACTGTACCATGGGAATCCAATGACATTGGTTTTCCTCATTCTTTTTCTTCGTGTTTCCACAGGTGGTCGGTGATGAAGAGCCGGCCGTGATGAAGAGCCGTGATGAAGAGCCGTGCAGCCTCTGCTGATCTGATGCCGAACGTCACCGACACACAGGTAGTTTACCTGAGGACATAACGAGCCTAAATACTTCATAATAGCTACTACAGCTACTAATTATCAACGATGGGTTAGTCAGGTTTATGAATTAGACTGCAAACCATTAACCCTTTAAAGCCTGACTCATGTTTATCCAATATTTAAAAAAAAATATATACAGTATATATATGTGCATATATATATATATATATAACTAAAGCAAAACCAGGTACAAAGCGAGTCACCCTCCCTTCTTCCCTCCCCCCACGACTACTGCAAACACCAGCACCACCGCCCACGCCC